GGACATGAGAGATTTTGGAGATATTCCTCTCCCTATTGCCACTCCTTCTCCATGCTGTCTCTGCAGGTTGGTGGTAGATGGGGGTACCCCTGTATCAGGCTTTGGATTTCGATGTCCTCAAGAAATGTTCCAGAGGATGGAGGACACATTTCGATTCTGTGCTCACTGTAGAGCACTCCCTAATGGCCTTTCAGACTCCAAGGTTCTCCGGCACTGTAAGAGGTGACTAGTTGGGGGCTCATAGGGAGACATTCAGAAATGACCCTGTAATAGCCGGGCACGGTGACTTATGCCTGTAATCCCAGCACTTTGGGAGGCTGAGGCAGGTGGATCATATGAGGCCAGGAGTCAAGACCAGCCTGGCCAACATGGCAAAACCCTGTCTCTACTAAAAATACAGAAATTAGCCACACGAGGTGGCACACATCTTTAGTCTCAGCTACTCGAGAGGCTGAGGTAGGAGAATCACTTGAACCCAGGAGGCAGAGGTTGCCGTGAGCCGAGATTCCACCTTGCACTCCAGGCTGGATGACAGACTGAGACTCTGTCTCAAAAAAAAAAAAAAAAAAAAAAGAAAAAAGAAAAAGAAATGATCCTGTATTATTATGACCTCATTCCAAAAGGAAAGATCTGAGAGTTTTCAAAATAACCTAAGGCTTACTCCTAATTTTTTGTCATCCAGGCTACAAAGATAAGAACAGTATGCTAATCCTGCTTATTTTTTGTGTTATTGGGAGGTGAGACAAAAACCACAATACATTCCTCTCTATCTCTCTCTTGAGTACTCAAGGAGTAAGACTACATTTGTTTGGGGATGTGGGAGTTGAACCATACCTGTTACGAGAGGACAGCTGTAAACTCGTGTTTTTTCTAAAAGTGATATAAAAAGTGACTTGTTCCAGATAGAGAGTAAGGTATCACTCTGTCTGGCAGAATAATTATATTCCCAATCCCTCCTGCCTCATCTGCCAAATGTAGTCCCCAAAATTGGTGCGTCAGCTGCCATTCCTCTCCCTACCTTCCTTAGCCATTTCCATCCTAGGTGCAGGAATATCAGTTCCCCTCCCCTGATAACCCCAATCACATTTGTAATATAAAAACTATTTCTGACTCGTTCTCTCAGGTGCAGAAATGTCTATTACTGTGGTCCAGAGTGCCAGAGGTCAGACTGGCCCGCACACAGGAGGGTTTGTCAAGAGCTTCGTCTTGTGGCTGTGGACCGTCTCATGGAATGGCTTCTGGTCACAGGTGGAATGGTGGTGTTGGGGAACTCTGCCATAATGGTCATATTTGGTTACATTTAAAGGAAGACATGAAATCATATTGTTAGGAAAAAATGAGGAAGCGGGGCAAAGGATGGGGCACCCCTGCTCACAGGTTGGCAGATTAAACATGGAGGGAATATTGATCATTTGTGAGGGGGAAATTTTGAAGCCAGGAAAATATTAGTTTCCTTTTTTTTCCTTCTTTCCTACAGGTGATTTTGTCCTACCCTCAGGACCTTGGCATTGGCCACCTGAAGCTGTACAGGACTGGGACTCCTGGTTTTCTATGAAGGGATTACACTTAGATGCTACACTGGATGCTGTGCTAGTTAGTCCTGCCATGACCACCTTATGGGCCAGTGTAGGATGGCCAAGGCCAGACCCAGATGTCCTGCAGGGATCTTTGAAGCGGCTGCTGACAGATGTCCTGTCACGGCCCTTGACTCTAGGCCTAGGACTTAGGACCTTAGGGATAGACGTTAGGAGGATTGGGGGAAGCACAGTGCATGTGGTTGGTGCTTCCCATGTGGAGACATTTCTTACTCGCCCTGGGGACTATGATGAGCTTGGCTACATGTTTCCTGGGCACCTTGGACTCCGTGTGGTCATGGTGGGTGTAGACGTGGCTGCTGGCTTTTCACAGAGCACCTCAACTTCACCCCTGGAACCTGGCACAATTCACCTTAGTGCCCACAGGGGCCTCTACCATGACTTCTGGGAGGAGCAGGTAGAGACTGGGCAGACAGACCATCCAGATTTGGTGGTGGCTTTCCATCCAGGTAAGAATCATTGGTTCACGGGAATACTGGGTGGCTCCCCTGAGAATTTTCCATCCTGAGTCTTGTGTCTTCTGTCTTTGGAACCCCATTCATTTGATTTCATTAAATACAATAAGATGACAACTTTTCTGGATCATTTGCCATATGTACTAGGGTTCAGAATTTTTCACTTGGATGATGATGATAATGATGATTGGGGATAAGCAAGGTAAGGGGTGGAGTGGTCACAGTCAAAGAAATATCTTGCTCTTAAGAGTCTGCTTCAGTCTTTCCCTATTCCCATTTTCATTTTTTTCCCACAGGTTTTCATTCCTCCCCAGACTTGATGGAGGCTTGGCTCCCTACCCTGCTGCTACTTCGTGACTATAAGATTCCTGCATTGATTACTGTTTACAGGTTTTGACCTCTTCCTATTTGTGATACTTCCCTGACTTATACTTCTCTTTATATAAATGAGCTCATTTTGCTTCCTCTTGTTTATCTACTTTCTGGTGAGGATGTTCATCTTTTCCGCATATGGCTTTTTCATCCCCTTGGAACAAAGTCCTATGCTAGTTAATTGAGTATTTAGTGAGAATTTTGGGAGGGAAGGGTAGTCCTTGCCTAGTTCAGCCTTAGACAATTTGGGGGATTGGTGATTACAGAAATGTCAGGTTCATGAGCAATTTTTCCTTTATCTCTGTCACCATCAGTAGAGTAATTTTTCTTCTCTCTCTTCTACAGCCATCAGGAGTTGGTATCCTCTTTGCAGATTCTGGTGGAACTGGATATACACATCACTGCCTATGGGGCTAATCCTTTCATGTCCCTCAAACCCGAACAGGTCTATTCCAACCCCAACAAGCAGCCAGTATACTGCAGTGCCTACTATATCATGTTTCTTGGAAGCTCCTGTCAGCTGGGTAATAGCCAATTAGAAGAGAAAGTGGATGATGGGATTTAAATAGATTATGACTGGACATCTGGAAAATGGGGAGGTTGTGATAAAATTACCCTGATAATGCCAGGTTCTTGCCAACTTTGAAAAACACTATATTCTAAACCTCATTCACTGTGTGGGTAAAGATTCTAAGCTGAATGAGGGTTCCTGTATAATGTAACTGGTTTCTTTCTTTTTTGAGACAGTCTTGCTGTGTTGCTCAGGCTGGAGTGTAATGGCATGATCTCGGCTCACTGGCTCACTGTAACCTCTGCCTCCCAGGTTCAAGTGGTTCTCCTGCCTTAGCCTCTTGAGTAGCTGGGATTACAGGTGCATGCCACCACACCTGGCTAATTTTT